TGCACAAATGTGTAAATATATTGTTACGACAGCGGTAGTCACGTGACGCTGGTAACACGTCATGATATTCTAGAAGGATCGGGGAACATCACGATTAATCCAGTATGTGCTAGGCGCCCTCTATTCCAGTATATAAGTGCGCCGGATAACGTGAGACGAATTAATCGGAATTGAATTGCAGACAGGCAGAGATAAAGACGGACAATTGAGTCAAGCGCGGTAGTGACTGTAAGTAAGTGTGTGAATCATTGTGAATTATAGCGACTGTTTAAGTGACTGTGGAAATTAAGTGTAATACAAAGTTGAATTGAGAAAGAATAAACTAGTTTTATTTAAGAAAGGACTTGTATCGCTAAAGTTTCATCCGAAAGAAATTACACGGGAAATTAACAAACGACCAGAGGCGTAACAATATTACCTATAAAAGACAGATTCATAGATTTCTCGTTCCTCTCCTTTGATAAAAATCTATATAAAAAATGATTTATTAACTGTAATAGATCGCTATATCATACATGATGATGATAGAGTTTAGTATCTTTTCCCCACTCAGTTTCTATTATAAGAACAAACCACCTACACTAGACTTAAAATTATCAACTGGATTTAAATACCACCTTGGTATTTAAAAGGATATTTATGTCGGATACGTGTTGGTTGCTATATCTTGTGAAACAAGTGACGTTTAACCTCTGTACTCTGTGCTACACATACGATCAAATGAAACGAAACACTACAGTAAGAATTGTTTGCAAGAGAAGAGTAAAATAGTACTAAATGCTACAACAATACTATTCAAGGACATAGCCCTGATGCAATAATAATATTGGTAGCATTTGTCAGATTATAAAAAATAGTTAAGGAGGGAAGAAGAGGTCCGCTGAAAACCCGACCGATTCAGAACATAGGGGGTGGTGCGAAATGTGAAGAGGGGAAATAAGTAAACGAGGAAGGTCGAAGGCCGCCTGGAGGGTCTTTAAGACTTTTTTCCAAGTAGGGAAGTGAACTATAGTTGGAGAGGACTGATCTTTCTTGACAGAAACTGCTACATAGAATATACCCAACAAGTTTTGCTAGCACTAGAAGAAAGAGTTCCTGTCATGTCATTACCTGAACTTACCTATATATATTTCAACTAGAGAAAACAATCGTTTGCAAGGTAAATTCGGCTTATCCAAATCGAGACATTGACTGTATTTATAATTCTTACTGCATCAAGGGCAGGCAATTATAGTACTTCTAAGCCTAAAACTGATGTGGCCAAAACGTTAACACTTTGTCTAGAAGAAAGCCTTTGATATGGACTGTTGCTGTGGACATGGAGGAATTCCTTTTGTGAAGTTGTTGTACTTTGACCATTCCAGCAAATCAATTTGGAAAATACCAGTGTTCACACAGAACAGAATTATTATGATTGATTACAATAATTAATTTGGATTCAAACCTAAATAAATCATTTCAAAGTGACTCTAATCATACTAGAAGATTTCAAGTCTAAGATTGTACGAGTTTCAATATTCACCTTTTTCCTTAGAAGCTGTTCTTCAATGGTGTTACAGTGCAACCGGAATCCACACCTGGCAGACTCACTGGTCTGGGACTCCAAGTCCATTCTGATTCCATAAAAAGCACCAAAACCACGAAATACGTTTCACACCTATAACAAGCACTACAAACTATAGAACATTTGTGTACAGGAAATTACCGAATGACACCTCTGGCATTAGCTCTTAATTTTTAACATTTTTTTTTGTTTCAAATCCTCTTGTATTTATGTACACCAAGAGACATATGTAACCAAGTAAGTAACTAATCATAGAATTATATGGAATAATCCTTGTATATTAGAGATAGCCAAATAAAGAGATATATTTAAGAAACTAAAAAACAACATAAGTAATGTTAGGAACAAAAATTAAAGGCACATGAATTCCTTCTAACAAGGTACATAATGAAAAATGTAACCGAATCTGATTTATAGAGTCTTTGACACATTGACTCTCTTTAACATAAACTAAAGAAACATGTTGAATAATCTCCCGAGGAGTCCTGCAGAAAGAGCAAAATGGCAAAATTACCTGACCAATTGTGTGTATTTTATATATATCAAACAACAAGTACTCAGTCGTAACCCACAAATACCCCATCTTGATGTCTACTTTTTAGTACAGTACAACTTTTGGATATTAGCGTAGGGAAAAACAAGTTATAAATATGTCATTCCACCTTGGACTTTGACCAATCTTCTGACCGGGAGCATAGGTCCTTTTTGTACAGAGAAGATTTGAACAATAGGAACTATTTAATGGAAGGGTTATCTAGGGGTAATCGAACTACAGTGCCATATTTGCAGTCTTGTCAGCTTGTTCATTTCTAGGAATACCAATATGAACAGATGTCCAGACACAATTTATTCTTATATCATAACTCAGCATTTCCAGAGGAAGCCACAACGATAATACTCCTCTGAAGAATGTAATCTAAAAAAATACTGTTTGAAGAGTTTGAAAACATAATAACATGAGTAAACTGGAGTAGGAGTATTATGGTGTTAAAATACTACTTACAAGTTCAGAAATAAACCTATGAACATGATTCAGAATATGATAAGATAAAATTATGTTAAAGTTCTGGGCAGTGTGCCCAGTAGAAGAGTCTTGTGTATAAATTTTTAAGTAGTCGTGAAACTAGAATACAAAGAAGACAATTTTATGAAGTTGCTCCATTTCTTGGAACTTCTATAAGGTCATCAGTGATATTGGAAAGAGTTCAAGAAGGAGATAAACCTTATGCAATTTAAGGTTCTAAGGGTAGGCTAGTGAGAGAAGTAGAGGCTTCAAAAAGAAAATCACAAATGTCACAAACAAACACACTACAGAAGTAGGACGTGGAATACTATCCCACCAATAGTGATAAGGGTTAATATGGAATGAAAGGATAGAGGTCCCAGAATGTTGTACATATTTAAATCCCTACTGACCTATCATTTCCCGTCATTAAGGGTATAATAAATAAACTTAGTATTTCG